GGCGGCAGGGCCAAAGCCACACCCCCCTCGGCGCACAGTCCGGTGCTTCTTCAAACTGTTCATGGCAGAGCCAGCACACGACCTACAGGTGTGCACTAACGCCTCCCAACGAAATGAACACACAGGTTCGTGCGAAGACTCGTCCGTGAGTGTTCGGGGCGGCTGGCTCACAGCATCCCCAAGTGGCCTGAAGGCGCGCCGGCTGGCGCGTGGGCGGGGAACTGGGCCCCGCCCCTGCGGCGGCGATCAAAGGGGCATAAACGCCAGGGATGCGCCGCCGACACGGACGCCTCTCCAAACCCGCGCTCAGGGGAGGAAGCCCGCCGGAAAGACGGCGGGTGCGCTGTGGACGCGCGGGTGAGCGCGCTCTGTGGAGACAGGACGTGGCTGCCCAGGGCTGCGTGTGCAGTGGGGTGCGGTGCGGAGTGACTGCTAATGGGGAGGGGTTTCCTTCTGGGGTGAAAAACGTTGTAAGATGAGATTGTGGAGGTGACGGTGCTATAGAACAGGCCCAAGGGGGGTTTATGATATGCTATTACGGAAAAGACCCCCTTTTTCTTGGGTGGTTCCCCACCCCCCGTACGAGGTTCGCTTTGTCCACCGCCAGAGGAAAGACGTCTCTCAGTGCCAGAGATTGGTGGAAAGGAAAATAATTATTTATTTGAAAGTTATACAGACTTAGAGTAATGAGGTAATGTCTTTGTTAAAATACTAGAGTCCTTTAGAACACCCACTGACTCACTCATACAGTCCTTCCTTCTCCCCCTGCCCAGTCCGGGGCACCGTATCTCAGGAAAAGAAGCAGAAGTCCGTGACTCAGGCTCCCGGCACCATCAGCTGTGTCGCCGCCACGATCTCCAGTTAATCCGAAGCCATGCGGCACCTTCTCATGGCCCGCCAGCAAGAGTCCTTGCACCCCCTTTCTTCCAGGCAAAGTCTCTCCTGCTGCCTAAGCCTCGTGGCAAAAGGGAGCACCCCCAAGCCGTGTGGCTCTCCCCTCACACGGCTGCCACCTCTGGGTTTAAATCCCCGCGCCAGTCTTCCTCTGCAGCCCCATCCCCAGCTCCTCCCACAATCAGTTACACCTGCCGGTGTTCCTGTGTCCTTCCAGCTTTCCTGCGCTGCCATAGTAAGTCCGGGGAGGCGTGGCAAGGAGCCAATCATCTCCAAGCTCTCATAGGGGCGCTGTAACCAGGGGGAGCTGTTCCCCAGTTATACAGCCTGGGTGGAAGTCACTCCCATCCCCCTGGCTCAGAGCATGGCCACAGCTGTTTAACATGTCCATGAGACCAGTTAAAGGTTACGGATATGGTAAACGACCGTTCCAGAGGTTAGCTGCAAGGCTGTTGCTGTGCAAAACAGCTCCCAATGGCCCTGCCCCACGTGTCCCATCCCCCAGCTGAGACTGGTGGGGTGAGGACACCCTGAGTTCTGGACCCCGTTGCAGATCCCTACTCGGGGCCCCCCTCTTGGCTGCACCCTGCTACAATTCTGTGAATGTGCCGGAACCCATCGAGTTGTACATCGTTAATGGGTGGATCGTGCGGCGTTTGTTACACTGTAAGAAAGCTGTTTAAAAAGCAGCCCTGGGGTCTCCTCGGTGGAGTCTTGGTGACCCGTGGAGTTCAGTCCTGTCTCCTGTGAGCGCAGCGGGGAGGACCAGATGAGATGGCAGATGGGAAGCCATTTTTCATTTGAGTTTTGTGTCTTGTCTTCAAATTTACTGCACAAGGACAGGCCTGCCCGCCCTGCGGAGGTCACAGGACAGACGCGGGTGCACGCGGAAGTTCAGCCCCACTTCTGGGGGGAGGGAGACATCCACTGTCCCCCCCCCCCCCGCCCCGGCGGTGGCCACGCGGGCACGTTCCTCCAAAGTCAGGGAGCTGTGCCTGCAACTGTGAATGCCCCTGTTTGCCAGCCAACGACACATTTACAAACACTTCAGAGGAAGTCCCCTCCTCCCCTTCCTGGGGTCCTGCCCCTCCCATTTCCGAAGGGAGGCACCCAGCTCCGCCTACAGGCGTACCCTGGCGGGGGAAATCCCGAGTCGCACTCTTTTGCGCACCGCGTAAGAGAACGTGCTACACACATCGTCCCGCGGATGAAGATTCTCAGAGACCAGCCCCAACCCGCCCCCGCTCACACGCCTGCCCGCGTCCGGGCCTGGACGTGCGCGATGCGGCCAGGCGTCCACCAGCGGCGGGCACCAGGGTGCTGCAGCCACTGCTGTTATTAAGAGCGCTTCAGCGAGCGAGCTTGTGCGCGGCGACCCTGTTCCCACGTGGGCGCAGTGTCTGCAGGGCAGATTCCTGGAAGACAGCGCTGGGCCGAGGGACACGTGTGTTTGGAATGAGAACACCGTCTCCCCGCTTCCGGGAGCAGCTGCCTCCCAGCCCCCCTGCAGCTGGCAGCGCGACCCGGTCTGTGCCCATCTGACAGTTTTATTTTTATTTTTCCCATCAGATAGCTTAAATGTGCACTTTTCCACATGCCCGAGTGTCCTTTTACACATCTTTCTCCATTCATTACCTCTGCCCATGTGTTTTTCTTCTTGGGTATGTGTCCTATTGATTTGCAAATACTGTTTATATATGGGGGCTCTCTGCTCAGGGTGGAAGTTGGATATGTTGTTTCTTTCCAACTTGTGTTTTCACCTGTGGCCCTCCCCGCTTTCCAGCACAGGTGACCGGCAGGCCTGCCTGGGTCACTTACTCCCACGCAGGCCACCCCTAGAGCAGAGAGGGGCCGGCTGCAGAGTGCAGACACCCTGGAGTCCCCGTTGATTCGGAAAGCATGCTGGTTGCCCCTCTGACCGGTCAGGTGGCACTGAGGCCGGTCTGCCGGGCTGCTCCGAGGAACACACAGCCCCAGCGTGTTGAGCATTTGGCTAGGGAATCTGAGGGCGCCCAGGGGCGTGGGCCCACTGGGGAAGGTGCTGGTCCCACGGCCCCAGACCTCGAGGACCCTCACTGCCCTCCCTCACCCCTCCCAGAGGGCCCTGGGGCGCGTCCTGAGGTGGGGGTTGCCAGCCCAGCTCCTGTGCAGCTGGAGGCCTGGTCTCTTGGGAGGCGGGAGACGCTACTCACACCCACTTCTGGGGGTTGCAAGGACGGACGGACGGACGGACTGACGCACGCAGCAAGCACGGGCTGGGCCGGGAGGTGAGCAGGGCAATTCCGTGGCGGGGGTGGGGTGGGTGCTGTGGGTTAGGTGTGGACTGGGCTGTACTGATCCGGGGCATATGGGGCAGGATGCCAGGGCAGCTGGCTGTACCAGCCACAGGAAACGGCTGCTCAGCGGCCTGGGTGACTGCGGCTGCCCAGGAGGCAGCTCCGGGCCACTGGCCCAGGCCACAGAGACCCCGGGCCAGCCCCCGCCCCCCTACCCCGTCTCATGCGCAGGGACTGAGGGACAGGACAGCCCGCAGGCAGTGCTTCGTCCTTGACTGTCGTCCTCCTGTCCGAGGGTCCCGTAAAGATGGCGGTATCTCCTGCGCACCCCCCGCCCCCTTTGGGGCCTTCGCTGTCTCACGGGGGCACGGGGTCGTGTCCTGAGCGCGGAGGGAGTTTGTGGGCTGTGGAGAGGTCGCTGCGCGCTGTGGACCGGACTGAACTGCAGCCCCTGCGCGCTGCCCTCGCCCGGGACAGCCTCTGGCCCGGCTGACCCCAGCCTCACGCACCACTGTCCCAGGGCTCCTCCCACCGCCAGCACCCAGGGTACCCTCCACCCGCCAGCGGCCCCTCCCCTGTGCCGCGGCGGGCCCGCAGCCTGTGCCCTGTGGGAGGAGACGGCGGGGCCCCGACTCGGCGCAAGGGGCGTGTCCCGAGGGTCCCACGCGGCTCCGGCTGGGGTCCCGGCCCGCAGCTCCGAACCCCGCGGCTCGGGAGGCAGAGCGCACGCTGTGCCGGGCGGGGGCGCTCTTGAGCCTGGTTTGAAATTTTCGCCCGACGCGTCCGCCGCAGGCTGGGCAGGGCCGGGGTCCAGAGCGACACCCCAGGCCCGGCGCGTGGCCGCTCCGCGCGGGCCGCAGGCCGGAAGCAGGCTGCTGATTTAGAACCTAGTTTAGAGGTCGATGGAGCAATTTCGGACGCTCAGGGGTTCAGGAGGCGAATGAAGGGGAACGGGGGTCGGTGGGAGGGAAATCCGCGGAACCGAACCTCCCGGGAGTCGGAGGGAGCCTGGGCGGCCGCGGCCCCTCCCCTCCTCCGGCCCAGCGCGGGGCGGGCAGTGGGAGGGCAGTGGGAGGGCAAGTCCCCGCAGCCCGACCACCCTCTCGCCCGCACCCCGGCGTGCGCGCGCCCCCGCGGGCTGGGGATTTGCACTCGCGGACGCGCGCGCTCACACAGGGTCCGGCTTAGGGTCAAGTTTCACGCGATTCCCAGGCCTGCGTGTACACGGCGGGGTCCACGGGCGCGTGCACGCGCCCCCCCAGGCGCCCACCTCCCGTCGCCACCACGGGTCCAGACTCCCAGACCTTCGGGGGTTTCTGCTCCCGGTGGTGGCTGGGCCGGGGGCAGGGGGCGCTCGAGGCCGCCTCTGGGCTCCCCAGGCCGCCGCCACGGCGCGCTCCAACTTCCCTTCCCGTGTCACCCCTGCGGGCCCCCCCGCCCCACCCGGGTCCACCGACGTGCGGGAGCGACACGGCCGCCGCTCCTCCGGCCGCCCCCGCCCCTCCTCCACCCGCCCTGCTGCGCTTCCCCACCGCACCTTGCAGCGCGCTCAGGAGAATGTGCTACAACCTCGGCGCTGCCGCCGCCGCGCTCGCGCTCGAGCCGGAGCCGGAGCCGCCCGGCCCCTCGGCGCCGCCGCCTCCCCGCCTGCCCGGTCGGCCCCGGGCTCGGAGCGCGCGGTCCCCGCCGCCACCCCGCGCTCGCCCCGCGCTTGACGCAGTGAGCGCTGCAGCCGGGCTCCCGCCGCTCCGCTCCGGCCCCGGCGCAGGCCGAGCCCAGCCCGGCGGGCTCCGGGAGGGGCGGGCAGGGCGCGAGGGGGAGGAGATCTGTCTGGAGCCCGCGAGCCCGGAGGAGGAAGAGGAGGAGGAAGGAGGGGAAGCCGTGGCGCTCTGGGGTCCTGGGCACGCACGCTTCGCCCGCCGCGGCCGTGCCTCCAGCCCGGGGCCCGCACCTCGGCCCAGGTAGGAAGGGGGTTCGGGGGGAGGGTCTGCGCGGGCGGGGGTCTCTGGTGCCGCAGCAGCGCAGCCAGCCTGTCCCCGCCCAGGGAGGAGGCGGGGAGGGATGCTTCCTCCGGGGCAGCCGCGGGGGCGGGAGCGGGTCCCCAGCCGTTCTCCGAGCCCGGCCGCCCCAGCCCCCGCGCCCTTCCCCGAGCGGCAGCGCCGGGGCCGCGTTTCTCCTGCCCGCGGGGCTTTGTCTGCGGCTCGTGGGGTCCGCGATCCGGACTCCGCCCCTACCCCCGGGTTCCCAGGCCGGTGCCCCCGAAGTTAGCGGTCGCCGAGCCCCAGCCGGACAAACTTCCCTCCCCTGCGCCGCGGCTCACAGGGCGGGGACTCCTCGCCCCTCGGGCTTGGAGGCGCCGCGGGGACCCCGAAACTTTCCTGAGCGCAGAGAGAGCGAAAGGCGGGCTGGGCAGGGGGCGGGGGCGCACGGTGGGCGTCGCGGCGCCCCAAGCTGGTCCGGAAACCCTCCATCGGGACCCTGTCTGGTAGTTGAGAGCACGCAGGGAGTGGACCGTGGGGACCCGGCCTTCGCACCTCCCGCGTGGATGGGGCCGAGTGCCTCCCCGCGCCGCCGCCGGACTCTCGGAGGGGTGGTGACAGGACACCCCGGGCCCAGTCCGGTCTCTCCGCCGCCGCGGAGCTGGGGGGATCGACCCGCTCTCGGGGATCAACGGGCACCCGCAACCCGAGCCTCAGCCGGGCAGGAAGCCGTGCCGCTGGGCTGGGCTGGGCTGCAGGCTGGGGAGCGACCCCCGGCCGCGAGCTGGCTCCTCCCCCGCCACCAAGGTCTCCACCCTGCCGCCCTTCCCTCCAAGCCCCCTGCCCTCCTCCCTCTGCCTCCTCTCCAGTCTCGGGGTGTCGCCCCCCCAACTTTTTCCCTTCTCGAACTACGTGGTGTGGCCTGTGGTCGCCCATCAGTCGGGCTCTGGGCCGGGTGGGTCGGCAAGCATCCGGCACCGTCCTTGGGAGCCCCTCCTTCAGGGCGGGGCGGGGTCCCTGGAGCCCCCAACTCGGCTGCTCTTCTCCCCCCAATGCACCACCCTCCTCCGTCGCCACCTCTCCTGGGCAGCGGTGGGCAGTGGGGTGCTGCCGGGGCAGCCTGGGGGTGTGGAGAGCAGAGGGGACCCGCGAGGCTCCCCGGAGGGTTTGGGGTGTAGCCTGGCTGCACAGCTGGGCGCAGGTGACGTCCTGGTGGCTCTCCTTCCAGCGTCACCCTCCTGCACCCCACCCCAAACTTGAGTGGACTGGAGGAGTGGGGGTGGTGGGGGTTGTGGGGAACTTGTTCCCTCCCCCCGGTCTGCTGAGCCCAGCACCAAGCAGCGTGGGGCCTGGATCCCCGGACTGGCACCCGAGACCCCTCTGTGGGCTCTGGGACCCCGGTGGCCCCCGCTGCAGCCGCACAGCCTCTGCGAGTGAGGTGAGGGCTCTGTCCGTCCTCTCCCCAGCCAGCGCCGGGTCTGGGGGCCGGCAGGGCCCCCCCCCCCGTGAAGCACAGTGTGGGGTCCCTGACAGATGTCCTCACCGCTGTTGAAGCCCATGTCTCCGTGACAGGATTAATGACATGCACACAGGCCGCCAGTGTGTGCGGCCCCGGGGGAGGGGTGACCCAGCTGAGGCTGGGGGGCAGGTCCAAGCCCGAGAGAGCGGGGCAGCGCCGAGGACCCGTGGCCAGTCCTGCTCCGGCCGGCCCCTCATGCCCCTCACCGTGAGCTGGCTCCCTGGTCTCCGAGTATGGGCACTTCCATTTGACCTCTGAGCTCCTCCGAAGACCCTTGACCTTGAGCGCCCACAGACCTGTGAGGCAAGTGCTGGTCAAGGGCCTGGGGCCATCGTGTCCGCGCAGGCAGGGGCTGGGCACCTGTGCCCGGGGTGTCACGGAAGGTCGTGATGTGACTCAGGGCAGGCACCTCGCACTGCCCCCGAGACTCTGGGACGCCCGTGTGGCACCCGGCCGGCACTTCCCGAGCCGGAGCTGCTCAGCTAGTGGGCCTGGGGAGCGGCGGGCAGGGCAGCAGGGGTCGGGGCACCTCTGGCCGGTTTGCCCAGGGGAGGCTGCCGGGGCCCACGCTCCCTTCTGTGTGCCCAGTGCACAGGGCCGGCGGGGCCAGGGGCTGGGCGGCCGCTGGTGGGACCTCTGGGGAGTGAGCAAGGGCCCCGTGGTGCCGGGAGGACTAGCTCCTCTCCAGTGGGCGCTGCAGCTGTGGGGTGGGGCTGGGGGGTGTGTTTTGGCCACAGGGAGGAGGGGTCGGTCCTCACCGGCTCCATCCCCTGCGCCCAGGCCTGGCATTTCTGAGGCTTGCAGTGCGGGTCTGGTGACAGATGAGGGCCTGCCCTTGGCCTGCACCTGCTGGGCAGGGGTCAGGGGAGGGGGCGGTGCCGGGAGATTCCCACCGGCCGACTGCCTGTCTCCCTGCGCCTCCCCCTGCCCTGGACTGCGGGGGGTGCGCGCCCCCAGAACCTGCGTGCAACCCCGGGGCACAGAGGCTTCTGTCCCAGCCCCCCCCCCCCCCATGGCTCTGCACCGCCCTCAGAGAAGTCTGGCGGGCAGGCAGGGGCGCCGCTCGGGGCCCACTCCCCCTGCCCCACCACCCCTCCGCGCCCAGCCCCTGTAGGGCGCTCGGGCTGTGGCGGCTCATTCACAGCCTTCTCCGTCCCCACACACTATAGGGCTTATCTTGATTTGCTGCCTTTGAATTGAGTCAACTCTTTTGTATGCTCGGTGAATTGCCCAGCTGCTGGCGGGAGCGGAGAGCGTGCCGGGGGTACTGAGGCCGGGAACCAGAGGCGGGCGGGGGACAGGAAGCGGCGAGGGGCGCGCGCGCCGCGGGGCCGGGCCGGGCTGCGCGGGGGGACCGAGCCGCCCACCCCCCGGGGCTGCCGAGGGCTCTGCCGGGGCGAGGAGTCCGGACGGGGGACGCTCCGTCCCGGGGGTGGGGGCTGCCTTTCGGGCGAGCCGCGGGGCCTCGCTGGGCTCGGTCTACTCGCCTGCGACGAGCAGAAGGGGTTCCCGCAGACGCGGGTTTCGAGGGTCAAACTCAGCGGCGGAGTGTGGGAGGGCCCCCCAGAGGCCTCCCGGAGGTTGGGGCGAGTGAGGGAAGGCAGGGGGCCAGGGTTGGGGGGCGCCCGGCCCTGCCGGTGCCCCGCCCTCGGCGGCCCCTGCCCCTCGGTCCCCGCCTTCTCGCACGTGGGCCGGGCCGACCGGACCGAGAACCACTTGGCTTTGCTTTCTGTGAGGGGGTCGCGGGTGGTGGCTCAGCCAGGCCACAGCTGTGGCGCGTTCCCCCACCCGGAGCACCGCCCCCGCCGCGCCCCTGCGGGGAGGGTGGGAGGGCAGGGTGGGACCGCGAGGAAACCTCCCAGCCCTGCCCCCTGCGCTCCCGAGCCGCGGAGGGAGGGAGCGCGGCGGCGAGGAGGCCCGGCGCGCGGAGGGGGCTCGGCAGGGAGGGGACGAAGGGGAGGGCGAGCCTCGGAGCCGGACTCGAGCGGGAGGAGCGAGGGGGAGGGAGCGGAGCGCGGAGGGAGGGCGCGCGAGAACAGGGCCCCCCCTGCCCGCGAGGCGAGGGGCGGGGCCGCGCGCGGATCGATGGGCGAAGCTGGGGAGGAATTTCAATCCCCGGAGCGAAGTTAGAGCTTGAAGGACGGCGGCGGCGGCGGGCGCAGCACCAGGACGGCGGCGGCGGTCAGGTAAGCGTGGAGCCCGCGGCGCCGGAGTCGAGAGCCAGCAGGGCCGGGGCGCGGGACTCCTGCCACTCGCCGGCCGGCGCGGCCGACCCCCACCTCGCGCCCCCGTTCTCTCCCTGCGTCCCCGGCCCTGGTGCGCCCCGGGCCCCGCGCGCCCTCCGAGCGCAGCGGGCAAAGTTGCAGGAACTTGGAGACGGTGGAGCGGGCGCCCGGTTCAGCCCGGCAGAGCGGAGGGGTCTGGGTCGGGGTCCCCGGACCTCCCCAGTCGCTGAGGCACCGCGCACTGCCGCTCTCTCGCCGGGACCTGCTTCTTCCTTCGCCCCCACCCCCGCCGTCCGCAGCCGGCCCGACGCCCCAGAACTGCCGCTCCCTGCGCTGCACCCCCACGGCTCCTGCCCTTCCTCGCCGTGGTCCCTGGCCCGCGCCCGTGCCCGCGTCACCACCCTGACTGACGCCCCCCCCCGACCCCCCCAGTGTTGCTGCTCCGCCTCACCCGGCACCGGCACCGGGGACGGCCCAGCCACACGCGGGGGAGGGGCTGCGTGCCGCGGCGGAGGTCAGACCCCTGGCGTGGGAGGGGCCTTTGCTCCACCCCTCACCCGCCTGGGACCCGAGTCGGCCTCTTTCCGTGGGGTCAGGGGCGCGGAGGCTCCTCTCCCAGACCTGCCTGGAAAGATGGGGGTCTCTCCCGGGAGAAGTCGCTGGTCACCTGCTTGCTCCTTAGGGTGGGGCCCTTGCAGGTGTCCCCCTTCAACGCAGACCCACAGTCTGGTCAGAGTCACTCTGACAGGCGTCAGTGTGTGACCTTGGGGCAGGTAGCGGGCCAGAGCCTCAGCCTCTGCATCTGAGAAGTGGGTGCAGCACCTCACTCGGACCCTGTGGGAGGGGCTCCCGGGGAAGGCTCACGCAGAGAGGGCCCCGGTGCCCTCTCAGGCAGGCGTGGGGGCTCCAGCTTGGTTTGCAGCCCCCCAGCACAGCCTTAGGCGTACACGTGCAGGGCCTAAGACCCCAGAGGCCCCGGGGGGCAGGCTCTTTTGAAAGGTGTGGGGCTAGGGGAGCAGGGAAGGGCAGGAGCCCCAGCCTCTGCCCAGCCCTGGAGGAAGCCGGTGCTGGGGGCTCGGAAGCCACAGACACTCTCCTCACTCTGGCCAGCAGGCCCCCCGCCTCTCTGCCCCCAGCCCTGGTGACTCTCACCCGACAGCGGAGCAGCGTGGGGGACAGACGCACCACCCCACTGCAGGCGCACCCCACTTCATCAGAAGAGGAGACACCCCTGAGAC